TCTCTAAAGTAATTATATATATATTCTTTAAAATAATTATATATATTTTTTAAAGATCTTAGCAAAAATAAATTTGTATAAAATATTAAAGTAATTTTTAAGTAACTCTCCTTTTATTTAAATTAGATAATACAATAAAGAATAATATTTAAAAAAATTATTGCAATTTCATTAGCGTAATACAAACAAATAATTAGACATAAAAATAAAAAGATTAATTAAAAATAAATTAAAAATACACTTACCTGCAAAAACGGGCTACTAAATTTATTAGTAACTCGTTTGTTTTATGGGTGAGTATACTTACAAAGAAAAGATAACCGCCGATAAAACTGACGGGGGAAGGTCTTTATAGCTCGTTTTTGCTAAATTATACTTTAAATGGACAATATATATTTAGAAGAGATTGAATTTATTAAAAATTTCTACAATTACTAGTAATTATAGAGACTTTGATACATACTAGTAATTATAGTCGGCATACTTTTGTCCTGAGGATGTATTACAGAGACGAACCACATCTACTTTCGACGATACGATTTTATCGATAGTGTAAGAAAATGTATATAGTCACGTAGTTTCCAAACTGAAATTGATGTATTGGCGGTAGTGTACGGGAGATTTCGACGGTAACAGGAAAAAGGCGCCGGAATAGTCTCTCTCAGGTTTCTCTCTGGTATCTCCTAGCTATATTTTTGGTTAGGTGTTTCTTTTCGTATCTCGAAATATATTCTAATAAAAATATATAAATTTACAAAATTACAGAAAATTGGAGGTGGGAGCGTTATACTAAATATTTATCAAAAGTATATTGTATAAACAGAGGAGACATTTGATTTTGGTTCCGTTTCACTTAAAATGCGCATGATGTATCATTTTGTTCTTGTTGTTTATTAGATATTAAAGAAGGATAAAATGACATGTTATGCGCGTGTTTATCGTGGATTGTTATACTTTATATAATTGATATATCAAATAAACTTTGCCAAATATATTTTTTATCAACTGATATTGATAACAAAATTTTTCTCTGTACCCTCCTGTGGTTTGCAGACACTTGCAGATTGCCGCGCAGGACGACAGATGGCAGAAATGTTTCTGGTAACGCTGCACGTGTTACGTTGCCACGGTTTGACGAAATTCGTTATTCCGTCGCGGTTCGTAGTAACCAGTAGACCGGTGTTTAGAAAGCTCGCTGTTTTCACGAAATTTTGCCAAGACATGTCGTACACGACCGTTGAGAGAGGTGCACTCAACAACACGAACTACAGGGTATTTTTCAGTGAGTAGATTCGACGTGACGTAGTCAAATAAACGATGAAGCAACATTTGCGGAAGT